CCCCCCCCCAGGTGGATTCTACTGTTTGTCTCTACTGAGTTAGACAAAATGAAATGAGAAGAAGAAAAACTGTCCTGTTTAGAGATATTGCAGCTGTGGGAACAGCTGTCCTTTGGAAGGATGGACTGCCATGTTTGGGTACTTCCTTCAGTGTTTAATACATCCACACATGAGGTAATAGAAAGTCTGGGTGCTGTGGGAAATCGCTGGAGCGGTGCCGTGCAATTATTCCATTTCTGGCATTGACGTGATGTTCAAAAAAGATTTTTACATTCTGCGGAGGTCCTATAAATAAAAATGTCTGTGTTTTAACCTGCAGCCTCGCTCGGTCTTTGACTCTGGGTGTTTTTAATGGCAGGTATAAGTAATGCTGAAGCCAGGCAGCCAGGCAAGGCACCAAACTTCAGTGTGAACTGGACGGTGGGTGACCAGGCCCTGGAGGTGATCAACGCAACCACGGGCAAGGACGACATGGGCCGCGCCTCACGGCTCTGCAAACACGCGCTCTACAGCCGCTGGGTGCGCCTTCACTCCAAGGTGCGGCGAGGCCAGAGCGCACATTCACACGCACCTCACTGTAATACTGGCGCAGACGTGCTGAGTCACGTGACATAACTATAGTTTCTTACATAAGTGATTCTGACAGTGAGTCGTAAAAAGACTGAGGTCAGCTGCAGTCAGCATCACGAGCTGTACACGTCTGAACCACACGTACTTCAGTGTGGTATCTCAGGAATCGCAGCTAAGCTACGAGATCATTCCTTGGAAGCCCTGTTCTGATTGTTTGCACAAAGTGATGTCACTATTGACCTCACACAGAGAGCAAAGGTCAACTTTGGTGTCAAACAGACTCAACTTAAATGTTGAGAATGAAAGCTGGGTCTGTGGCTACAGCAAGTCCAAAGGATCGGCTCAAGGAGCAGTTTTTTCTAACATTAACATCACTTTCTGGCATGACTGTGTATGTGGAGTGTTGCACTGTGCTGAGACGTGTGTGTGAGAACATCTCCCTGCTATCATGCACCCACTGACTTCGTCCACTTTCCCAATAATATAATTTAACGTTTAGACACGTTAGTAGTCAGAGCCTGACTTCCAAGGAGTGCAAACAAGTTTCTTTTTCTTTGTGTGGTAGGAGCTGAGATTTTAGATTAATGCGTCGTTGTTTTTGGTTTGTTTCTGTTATTCTGTTGCTTACTTTCCTTTCTCTGCGTCCTCAGCTGTCGTCCATCTTGCGGATCAAGGTGTCGAAGCCGAGCTCCTACCACGAAGCAAAGCAGGCAGCCACAGAGTACCACTCTGCCAAGCAGGCGCTCATCAAGGCCTTCCACAAGGCCGGCTTGGGGGCTTGGGTGAAAAAGCCCATCGAGCAAGACCAGTTCACCCTCAGCTCCTGAGGGAGTCGAGGGATTCCTTAACCACCCCCTCCTCTTTCCCTGACCCAGGCCTGAGAGAGCCCCCGTATTAACAAGCAGACACTTACTTCCGTCCCATGTGTCAGCACGCACGTGCACTTTGTATTTGTGGAAATGAACGTGCGCCGTTTCACAAACCATCCGTAACTCATCATTCTCATTCCTCAGAGGACATCAGCCTCGTGTCTTTGATTTAACTTTTTACTTTGATTTTACCGGACGTTCCATTGAATTATTTTCTGTGTAAAACTGGAATCCATGTTTTGTTTTTTCGTTTAACACGCACCCATTTGTTTCCCAGAGAAATCATGTTCTTATGGCGTAGATGTGGAAGCTGAGATTATACCGTTCTGTCTTGTTGATCAATGAGTAGCTAATTTAGGTCGGAATGTAGCCTAGAAACGGGATCTTTGCTGACTAAAACCAATGTATATGGACCTAAAACAATATATATCTTTGCTAAAATTAATGACACTGACAAATTTTAATTTAATTATGCATAAATCTTCAAGATGTAAATCTAGTGCTGAGAAAAACATAAGCGTTGTAACGTTTAATGTGTGTTATTTGGTCCGTTCCTTAGCTGAGACTACGTGTTCTTATCCTCTGGATTAAAGATAAAAATGTTACAAAATGTTGTCGCCCTGTTTGAGTCACTGACTGGAAAGAGTTCATAAGGCAGGTGTGACAGCGTCGTAGCACTCTTTCCTTTATTTTTATGTCGTGTTCATTCATCTGTGCGTATGATTTTTAAGTTATTTTATGTCACTCTCATTTCATACTTGAACAGATGCGAGGGAGGGGTGAGGGTCACGTTGACTGGCCCCCCCACCCCACCCCTCGCCTGGGTCTTGGGAGAAGCTTTGGGAGGTGCTGCACGTTGTATTTTTTTCTTGATCCAAGCCATGGCTTTGCATGGAAACTGAACTTAGAGGCCTGCAGAGCGGAAAACGTAGGATGGCGAGCCCCGTGCGTCCGTCGGCGAATGATGTTGAATGAATGCCAGCATCTTCCTCCACAGGCAGCTTTGAATCTTTGTCTCTATTTTCTAGATTTCTTGTGATTGATTGTTTGATTTTTGAGGGAAGGGGGGGATGGGAACAATTATTTTTTTCACCCTTAGGCATTTGAGGACTGGGGCTAACGCCACAGTGAACATAGCGATAGTATAACGGACCTCTCAGATCTTGTAATTATGTCATTTTGTTGCAGGGAACAATGATGGCTGACAGATGACGTGGTATATATGTACTGTAGCAGCACATACAGTATGTGACTAGATGCAATCCTTCCACATTATTGTGTGCGGAATCACCTAGATGAACAGCAGAGTAAAATGCAACCCCTGCATGAGAAGACTCAGAAGTCGTATGCTAAAATGTATCACAGTGTGATGTCATGTTCATCCTCGTCCTCTCTACGCCCAGTTAAGAAACACGTTAGCTGCATATTCCATGTTGTGAATTAACTCGACTCCTGTACACCCCGAGTGCATAAATGTCCTCATGTTTTCAATTTGTAAATGAGGATGTTTTCCCGCGGTGACTTCCTATTTCCAGCTGCGGGAAATTTCTATGTGCGGGTGTGCGTGCAATTAATGTGTGTGCTCAGGTTGTCTTTAAGCATATTCCTGTCAGATTTTCACCAAAGATGATGATGTCCATGTGTGTTTCTGACCCAGTGTTTTCCTTTTCTTTTTCAAATATCTAACATTGTGGCATCGACCCTTTACTGTCCGGTCTTTTGCATACCCGCACAACAATGTACTACTTTTACTTTGTACAAAAATGATGTGCTCGATTCTAAGTGGGAGAAATACAAATGTCAGGCTTCTTTAGTGCATCTGTAGCTGTCAATCAGTGATCATGTGTATATTGTGAGCTGCGATCATTATTGCTGCAAAATACTAGTTCTGTGTAAATAAGGAGCAACAAAGGCAACACGTCTTCTGACCTGTGCAATCGATTCATCCTCAAGAACAACAAAAAAACCCAAAATGTTTTGATCCCTCCTCTGTTGCCGAGATTGTGAAGATGTTACTGTTGCTAAGTAAGTATTTGTGATTCTGTGTCACTCACTGGGCACCATAAAGCATGGCACTAACACTGCCGGGGTCAACATGCTTCATCCCCATTGTAGCCACCCATGTTTGAAAAAAAATATGCACTGTAAAGTGCCTAAGCTCAAAGTGGCATCCACCAGCTGGCACGTGTGATGTCATGTATGTACCTTTCACTTATACTTGGTTGTTTTTGGGGGTATTTTTGTTTGTTTGTTTTTAGTCAGTATTTAAAAAGCAGGAAGCGGGGACTCCCAGAGTAGAGTTAAAGTTAAAAAAAAACTTAATAAGTATCCAGTGCCCCCCCGACAAACAGATCCAGACCAAAGTCTTGAGCAATACTGATAATATCTCCTGTAACGTCAGGCCAAAACCAACAAGAGTGTCGAGTTTTCCTCCCCTTCTGCTCCTTCGGTTTTCTGTTGGTGTTCTTCGTTTATTCTAAAACTGCAAAGTCTGAGATTTTTTAATATAGATATTTCCCCCTAAAGACTGCCTGCTTGTTGGATTTTGTTTTCATTTTTAACTGCACTAAAGATGTCAACAGATGATGTCATGATCTCTCTCTCTATACATATATATATAGATATATGTATATATATTTAAAAAAAGAAAAAGTCCCCATTTATGGATTAGATGGATCAAACTATCTGCAAGAACTGAACTGCTTCTGCTTAACCCTTTGTGAATCCTCAATGATGGTCAGTGCACCCCTCCACCCCACCCCTTCTGCAGCTGCACCCATTGGTGGGGTTCTTTTTTTATTTATTTGTTCTAATTAATATTATTATGTTTCTTTTGTTTGGTGACTCCAGATCGGTCAGTGTTTGTTAACTGATTTCCAGAGCCACTGCTCTCCGTTCTTCTCCTTCTGCAGTTGTCCAATGTGTGAAACCCTCCCCTGACGAAAACTACAACTTTGCATGTACTACCAACACTGAAGCTGCACCTAGCATGATGACAAACTTTTAAAGGACTCGTGTAGAAAAAAAAAAAAAAGAGTTAACAGCTAAAGATAGATATATAAAGTGAACAAAAAAGAATAAAAGAGTTCTTAGTTTACTTTTGCACATGGTTGGGATTCTTTTTTTATTGCATTTCTGTGTGTGTATGAAAGAGAGAGAGAGAGTGAGTATGAGATCATGCGAGAGCATCACCTCATGTTTGCAGCAGATCGAGACACAGAGACAAACTCCACAGTCGAAACTGTATTTCATGTGTGTTGGATGAAGAATGCGTGGAGGATTTAACTTCTTGTGCTTGCTATGACTAAACTGTTACTAAGTGAAAATACTACATCATAAAAGCTCTGACTTCAAAACTGCAGTTAGTTAAAACTGAGCTTTGAGTCATTGCATCATTTTACAGTGACAGCCCTTCAAAGGCTAGCAGGGTCAATGTGAACGTCCAGGTCATACACATTATCCCACTTTTCAATCAGTCGATTTTGTTTCTAGACTTTGTATTTTTAATGCATTCTGTAAGTGTGTATATAAATAAGTACGATGCATACTTACGATGTATACCGTGTTAGTATCAGACCCCCTTAATTCTTGATCCCATTGATTCAACAAGTTGCTGGAAACATTGCTCAGTGATTTTGGTCCATGTTGAAATGCACATCCATGATGCTAATTTCACAGATGGCCAGTTTGAGATAATGCTTCTGCTGGAAGCAGACATCAGAAGATGATACACTGTGGTTATGAAGATAGTGGCATGGTCCGCAACAATACTCAGCTGGTTGGGCATCAGCTGATACAAGGGCCCAAAGTGTTTCCTAAATATTTTCTATACCATTACACCATCAGCAGCAGTCTGAACTACTGATACAAGGCAGGCTGTCATGTTTACACCAAATTCTGACCCTACCATCCGAACAGAAAACTTCTTCCGATCTTCTTTGGTGTAATTTTGGTGAATCTGAGTGAACTGTAGCATCAGTTTAGTGTTCTTAGCTGACAGGTGTGGTCTTGTTCATAGCTTGGTTGTAACGAGTGGGTGTTTTTCCACTGGCCTTCAGACCATTCTCTGTAGTCCCCAGAGATGGTTGTGCAGAAAGTCCCGGTAGATCCACAGTTTCCCAAACACTCAGACCAGCCAGCTAACACAATAACACATTTAAAATCGCACTTCTTTCACATTGGTGCTCGGTGTAATCTCAGCAGATCGTCTTAACCATGTCTACACTCCTACATGCATCACCTCGCTTTCTTGTGAACGACTAGCTCGATATTTGCATCAATGAGGAGTTTAACAGGTGTATCTAATGAAGTGGCCAGCGAGTATCCATCTATAGAGCTATCTATACTGTATATATCAGTCGTGAGGCTTTATGTAATGGCTAGCTATATTGAAAACTGTGAAGAATTTGGGCACTTGTTGCTGCACAAATGCTTTTAATCTGGTGCTGAGGTTTTGTGTAGACTCACAGTTGTGAGTGTGGATTCAGGACTAGAGTTGACCACACATGCAAAGAAGATTAGTTATGTTCAAAAACTATTTTTGAGGGATATCAGAAGTAGTTTATCAAATTAACAGTTCGTACATTTCGAAAAAGGAGTTTTCGCACCACAGGGACCGAGGAGCACAAATCTTGTCATGAGTGGAAAATCATTTTCATGGTAGTGAAAACCACAATCCATCAGTGAGGAATGTTCTACAGGACGGTCATGAAAAGAGGGTCCAGAGCATTCATCACAAGCCTATACTCAGCCTCGGAAACAGAGCAATCACGCTGTATTCTGCAAAAACACACAACACTAAACCATGCAGAGTTGCATAACAAAGTTTTATGGGCTACTGAAACAAAAATCAACCTCGATCAAAATGTTGGAAGAAAGAAAGTATGGAGAGAAAGCAAGAAAAGCAGACTCTGTTATGGTTTGGGCGTGTATCGCTGCCAGTGGAGCTGGCATTTTGACATTTAGTAATAATTTAGCTTTTGACAGGAGCAACAGGGTGGATGCAGAAGTACACAGAAGCATTTTGTGTACTCAGAGCCAGAGAAATACATCAAATTCACACATTGTGTAATCCTAAAGCAGGAAAAGAGCTTTTCAGCCAAGAGAAGGGCCAGTTATCTGCTCTGATGCCAGTTCATCATAATCATGTACACTTCAAATTAAAGATGTGACATGAACTTTCAACAGAGCTTCAGTTATTGGTGTTTAAGATGTCATTTTTAATGGAAGCTATTATTTAAGTTTTGATAAGTAAACATGCTCTCTAATAGAGAGAGATAAAAAGTGGAGTACACACATAAGTTGTACAGATGAATGTACCAGAGCACAGAGCCTGGAGATGTGTAACTGTGTGATAGATACTTATGGTCTGAATGCTGTTCTGGCTTCATACCCACAGAACACAATGAACTTACCAGCACAACTCACAACGGTGCCACATGGACCGGATCGGATCAGCTGCTGTATTAATCAGCAGGATGTATAAAACAGGATGTATGCACACTTTACCTGAAAGCCTCATGCCCACGTTGCCTGTGCTTTATAGCATCGTTCATAGTGGATATACTCTGATGCATGTTTGACCTGACAAATCTGCCGATTAACAAACAGCGTCATTACTGAAATGCACCCTTACTGCTGCCTGCTGTCGCTGCAGGTACATTTAGGTAAAAACATTTATTTCTCAATCTCAAAAATGTGTAAAATATTTGAAATGCATTTCAAGCATTTCTCCTATTTCATGAAAGTAGCTTAGTTTTCTCATTAAAAAGAGAATTTTAGCAATTAGCAAATGTGTTTCACAGTTTATGTCAGTTTAAGGAGTTTAGCTGTGAACACAAAGGCCTTCAGACACATGTGTTGTTCCCGGGTTTTATTTTTACTACCGTGACTGACCGGTAACCATAAAGCAATCTTCAAACTCTTTAAATAAATGAAGATCTCAGAAAAATGTGAAACCGCGCACGAAGAAATCACGGCGTGCATACAGTCGACAGAGAATGTTTTTAAAATGTGTTTCAAGTCGATGTTTCTGTCTGCGTGTCTGATGCTGATCAGCATCCCAGAAGATACCGGCACCGGATCAATAATAAATCACACATCGCTGCTTTAAAACACCCCCCCCCACCTCACGCTCATAACGCCGCTGACATGATGATATGATGATTCAAAACAGATTCAAACAGTCGTGACAGGTGAATTCAATAATGCAAAAATCCATCTGCTGAGTCTCAAATACCATGTTGCTCTTTGCATAAATGTTAATATTATCACATTTGTCAGAGATAAAAGTCATACAGTATCCAGCAGCTATATGTGCTTTGTTAGTGTCGTGTGTTGTTGTTTTTTTCACTAGTGACAGAAAATGAATGAATGAATTTGATGTGACGTTCACAAATGTTACTTAAATTAAACTACTTTAATATAAAACCAGGACATCACTGGAAACAACCATCTCAGCAGCACACGGAGCACAAATGTGGAAATAAAATGAAACATGACTACATACAGTAGAGGCCGGTGAGGCTGCTCAGCCCCCCTGGTGCGGTATGCGTGAGAGAGCGAGGGCAGCAGCTTGTGTCCCTGAGAGAAATGACAAATCATTAGCTTTGGTCCAGGGGTAAATGGAAGCCACACTCTTCCAAGGCCCACATTTCCATTTCAATTTTCTGCTCAACAGAGTTGATGTATGTGGCGAATCACATGGCAAGACCAGTCTCCACCTCGAGCCTGCTGTTATTCACTGGTTGGAGTGTGTCTGTGACCTTGTGTCTTCGTGTGTGCGCACTGTGTGTGCGAGTGTTTTATCAAGTGATAGCACTAACTCATTGTCACTGAAACCAAAGCAAAGAGACAAGTGAAGACAGTCTCCAGACTGAAGTGTGATTATAAAAGAAAAATGAAATCAAAGGGCGGCGTGTTTGATGATATGAGCTGACGATGATGAATTAATTCTGTAGATTATAAACTTCTCCTAACTGACACACTAGACTGTCCACCTGCGCGAGCGCATTAAAGGAGAAAATTACAAGCTGATGCCGGGGTAGTGCACCGAGAGACACAAAAATGCTACGACAGGTACAACAACAAAAAAGTAGCAAGAAACCTGCAGCCTTGTCTCTCTTCCCAGCAGCTGCCCTTCCAGTACAAACTTTCTCTGACGGCTTGGGAACAAAAAATAAATAAATCAAAAATACTTAATAAAACAGTAAAGTGCCAAATAATGAATTTTGAGCACATGGATGCTGTCTGCATCTCACAAAGACTGAGAGGGGGCATAATGAGCTGCAGTGGGACCACAGACTGAGGAAGTTTAGGCCTCGGGTTCGTACAATAATAATCATGAACCATTAATAAAACAGCATTTCAAGACAGCTAAAAATGTGCTTTTCTAACAGTGGGTGGGAAGTAATACTTTAACACAGTATGAATATGACACATTTTATAAGAAGAAGACGTTAAACCAACAGTTACAGCTCATGTGGTTTGGCATATCTCACTCTGCTCACAATGAGGGAGTGTGTAATCAGCTCAGTTTGTTAGCAGACTAGCATCCAGAGTTTTCACAATATCACTGGGTCAAAGTCAAAGTCAAGGTCACACGAAATGTGAAAATTAGCAAAAACTTATAATCCAGTTTTCATGGATTGTCTTCATACTTTACAGCAATATACCAGGCCTAGGGGGGCATAACTACTGACCTTCATTGTTAGTGCCCAAGGTCAAAGTTAACCTTGAAAAAAAATTCCTATAGAGCAATATATCATGGAGAGATTTGTACAGCACACTTTTTTATTTTTTCAATATGACGCCTCGCCTTGAAGTCACAGTCATGCCATAAAGTTTTCCCACACAATATATTTTAAATCTCAACTTTTTACAGCTTATAAAAGCCAAATTATTCTGCTCCAGTCAGGATAATACCATTTTAATATGTAATGCTTCAATGTCACATGTCTAAAGGTCATGGTCACACGAATTAGGAAAAAGCTTTAGTTTCATTGTCTCCAAACTTTAAATAATATCTTGGTGCTTGGGGAACATAAACACTTTCTTTGTTTGAGCTCTTTTTTCAGTGCAGCATTATTTGACTTCACA